GGCTGGGAAGGTGGCTCAGTGGTAGAGCGCTTGCCTTGCATGCCTGAGGCCCTGGGTTCGATTCCTCAGCACCACATAAGTAAAAACAAAAAAGCCAGAAGTGGTGCTGTGGCTCAAGTGGTAGAGTGCTAGGCTTGAGCTGAAGAGCTGAGGGACAGTGCCCAGGCCCAGAATTCAGGCTCCACGACTGGACAAAAAAAAAAAACCAAAACATTGAAAGCTGAGCACCAGTCAGTAGTAGTTCATGCCTGTAATCTTAGCTACTCAGGAGGCTGAGATCTGAGGATCCAGATTTGAAGCTAGCTAGGAAAGCCAGAATTGGAGCTGTGGCTCAAGTGGTAAAGTGCTCACCTTGAGGTTCAAACCCCAGGATCTGCACGCATGTGCACGCGCGTGCACACACACACACACACACACACACTAAAAATAAATAAGCAATGCAAAAGGGGCTGGAAATGTGGTTCAAGTGGCAGAGCGTCTTCCTAGGGAGCAAGCAGAAGGACCTGAATTTGATCTCCAGAACTGCAAAACAACAAAAACAACAAAACCTCCAAAACTCAACCAAACCAAAATCAAAACAAATAAAAAAACAAAATAAAAAAAGAGAGAGGGAAGGTTGTCTCTGACCTATTCCAGATTAATAAAACTAGGCTTTCTATGTATGTGTATATATTTGCTGATTTTGGGCTTGAGCTCTGGGCCAGGGCACTGTCCTTGAGCTCCTTTTGCTATCACTTGAGCCACAGCTCCATCTCCACCTTTGTTTTGTGATTACTTGGAGATGAAGGTCTCAGGGACTTTCCCTGGCTTTGAACCACGATCCTCAGATCTCAGCTTCCTAAACAGCTAGGATTACAGGTGTGAGAGCTATCAGCGCCTAGTTCAGGCCTCCTATATTTTATTTTACTTGTATTGCCAGTCCTGGGGCTTGAACTCAGGACCTGGGCACTGTCCCTGACCTTCTTTTGCTCAAGGCTAGCACTTTATCACTTGAGCCACAGCGCCACCTCCAGCTTTTCTGTGTATGTGGTACTGAGGAATCAAACCCAGGGCTTCCTGCATGCTAGGCCAACACTCTATCACTAAGCCATATTCCCAGCCCCAGGCTGGTATATTTTAAAGCTTCTGTGAGGTTTCAGTGTCCAGGCAGGGCTAGGAACTTTCACCGGCCCCAGGCTCTTGAACCTCTGGTTCAAAGGACCACCAAATATGAAGTAATTTTCTCACTATTTGCATTTCTTTAAAGTTGCTAGACAGAGGTTAAAGGTGCTCAAACACTAAGCAGAGAATTAGAAAGGAATCAGAAATGGACCTGGGCACTGATAATGCACATTCATAATCCTAGCTACTTAAGAGGCAGAGAACCATTCAAAGTTAGTCCTGTCAGAAAAGATGACAAGACTTTACTTCCAAATTAACCAGTAAAAAGCCAGGCTGGAGGAATGGTTAAAGTGGCAGAGCACCAGCCTTAAGAAAAACTTTTATCATTTTACAATTGTAACCATCTTTAAAAATGATTTTATTATAAAGATGCTATACAGAGGGTTACAGTTACATGAGTAAGGTAATTAGTACATTTTATTTTTGGTCAGTCGTGGGCCTGAACTCTGGACCTGGGCGCTGTTCCTTAGCTTTTTAGCTCAAGGCTAGCACTCTACCACTTGAGCCACAGCACCACTTCCAGCTTTTTCTTTTTATGTGGTGCTTAGGAATTGAACCCCGGGCCTCATGCATGCAAGGCAAGCGCTCTACCACTGAGCCACCTTCCCAGCCCTTGAGTACATTTCTTGTCAATCATTACTATCCTTTTTTGTTTGTTTTTTATTTTTTGTCAGTCGTGGGCCTGAACTCTGGGCTTGGGCGCTGTTCCGGCACTCTTCAGCTCAAAGCGAGCCCTCTACCGCTTGAGCCACAACGCCACTTCTTGTTTTCTAGTGGTTTATTGGAGATAAGAGTCTCACAGACTTTTCCTGCCCGGGCTGGGTTTGAACCTTGATCCTCAGATCTCAGCCTCCTGAGTAGTTAGGATTACAGGAGTGAATCACCGGGACCCAGCTTATCCTTTTTGTTTTGCTCCTACTATCCCTTCTCTCCCCTACATCCCCTACTATTCCCCCCCCCCCCCAGCCATCTTAAGTGTACAATTCCAACATCCACTTCCAGAATTCTCCATTTCTGGGCACTGAAGCTGTGTCCCCCATTAAACAGTGACTCCCATCTCCTCTCAGCACCCATGTCTCCTCATCCTATTTCCTGTCTATGGATTTGTCTTTAGGGAGCTCCTGCGAGTGTGTGTTCTTCAGTACTCAAGTTCATTTATGTGGAAGCAGGTGTCGGAATTCCTGTATACGGCAGAATCATATTGTGTTACATGAGTGATGTTCGATGGTTCCTTTGGTAATCCCAGCTATCCCAGAGGTGGAGACTGGGCGGATCACCATTTAAGGAGAAGTCTGGGCAAAAAGTTACTCCATCTTTACAAACAAGCCTAGTGTAGCAGGGCACATCAGAGGAAGGTAGAGGAAGTAGGATCTCAGTGTAGAACAGCCATTACAAAAAGCACAAGACTCTCTGGAAAAAAAAAGAGCTCCAGTTACCCTCCCCTCCAATCCTCGGTATACGTGGGATACATTTTTATCAACTCAACACTTGCCTTAAGTAGGCACTTTGGAAAGTAACAGAACCTAACTGAAAGATGCTTGCCAGTTAAGTGAGGAGGAGGGCTGGATTCTTTATACTCATCTGGTAACATTGTAATCCTTGTAACATTGTATCTTTACAAAGTTGTATTTAACTGAAGGACACTTGCCAGCTGACTGAAGAGGCCGGCTGGATTCTTTGTACTCACCTTGTAACATTGTGACTTTGCAACATTGTACATTTGTAACTGTTATATCTTTGCCATTGTAAGGAAAGGTCTTCTTTGTTCCAAACAGCCTGTCAGTGCCCTTCCCATTGTCCTCCCTTTTTATGAGGACAATGGCATTCAAAATGTGAGCCGGTCTCTCAGTCATCTGGTTCAACTGTGCATGGACAGCCTTTAAAAATGTGTTGTTATCTGTAAGTGGTTGTACGAGGGGTGTCAATTCAACAGACCAACTTCTGTGCACAATACATCTTGATCACTGTCACCTCCTCCCTTTAAAAAAGTGTGTGTGTGTTTTCCCCCTCTGAGGGCTTCTGCTTCCTGGGACGGCCCTGTAGCATTGAGCCACACCTCTAGCCCTTTTTGAAACGTTCTTTTGGTGATTAATTGGAAATGGGGGTCTCAAGGACTTTGCTGCCCGAGGCTAGCTTCCAGTGGCGACCCACAGCTCTCAGCCTCCCGAGCAGCAGCGAGGGTCACAGGCGTGAGCCGCCGCTCCGATCACGCACAGCATAGCTATTCATCATCGTCATTTCTCTAGATGAACTCGTCCCTTTTGTCTAAGTGAACCATCGAGAAGCTCCATCATTTCACCGTCGCACGATCTCACGCTCGCGTGAAGCAGAAGCAGCCCCGTTTCACAAATGCACAGATTGAAGGACCCGAGAGGGAGCGAGGGGCTGAATCGGCCGCGGTGGGAAACCTCCGTCTCCAGTTCCAGAGTACATTCCATTACAATGGTAGCAGCTCGTGGGAAATTCAAGCGTCCCCGGGGCTTCCCTCCCCCCGGGGTTCCACCTGCCCAGCTCGCCGGCGCCCGCGGGACTCTCCCGCGCAGGGATGCTCGGACAGCAGCGCGCAGGCGCGGCGCGCCCGTCCCGCCCCCGCCCCCCTCCACGTGCGGCGCACACCTCGCGCTCGCCTCGGCGGGACTCGCCTCGCGCCTCCCTCCCTCCCTTCTCCCGCCCCTCCGCTCCCGGCCTTCCTATTGGCTGGAGGCTTCGTCCCTCCGACCGCAGCCAGGCAGGCCCCCTCCAGGCAGGAAGTCCCACCTTACGAGCGGTTGATCGTCTCTCGGATTGGTCCGAGGGGCTGTCCGTTAGAGGTGGTGGGCCCAAGTAGTCGGCGGGGCCCCGCGGTCGGTGAGCGACCCGAGCTGGCGGTGGTTTCCGGTTCCGCGGGGCTGGCGGGCGGGCGGGCAGCCGGGAGCGGCGGCGGAGACGGAGTCTGACAGACAATGAGGAGGGCGGCGGGGCGGCCCTGAGTGGCGTTGGCGGCGGCGGAGAGCGACGCGGGACCCGGGGGCGGGGCGGGGCGCCAGCCATGGACAATCAGGTGAGGAGCGGCCGCGCCGCCGGGGCGCTGCCCGCCTGGCCCCCTCCCTCCTTCCCTCCGCCTTCCCGCCTGCCCGGCCCTCCTGGGTCCCGTCCCTCCTCGGTCCCGGCCTCCCCGCCCCGCTCCGCTCCCGCCCGCCTCGCTTTGTGCGCGCCCGCCGCTCCCCGGGCCTTTATGTGGGGCAGGGGCGCCCCTCCCCCATCCGCGACCCTCGCCCGCCCCGAACGTCTTAGACCCCCGTGGGGACCCCAGCCTGACTCCGAGACCCCCCTCTTGGGATGGCCCTCGGGAACCTCTGGGCGATCTAGTGTCCCCTGGGACCATCCTCGGATCCCCAGTGCGACCTAGTGACCCTCCCTCCTCTGGAGTCTCCAGTCCGGTCCTGGACCTTTGGAGATGCTCCTTTCTGACACAGATCCTCGTGAGATGCCACTGGAGACCCCCAGCTATGCCTAGACTCCCTCTCCTCCCCACAGCTCTTAGGCTTCCCCGCTCAGATCCCCTGTGGGACTCCCCAGATTTGACCTGGGTCCCCTTTCCCCTTTGGATCCACGGACAATCCATGACTTTTTTTCTTTCCTTTAGATCCTTGGATACTCTAGTCTACTCAAACACCATGACCCACCCTCACCCCCCACACACACACCCAAAATCTGGGCTCCTGTTCCAACTTAAGCTATGAGTTCCCCCAGAACCCTTCCTCCATCATTCCTGGAACCCAGGCACAGCTTAGGCTAGCTTTCCCCAAGTTTGCCAGCCTGCCCTGGGCCTCTTCACCCCCTCTGATCCTGCACCTGCCTTACCTCAACATCCCTTTCACCTCCTCTCCTGGTGGGGCCTGAGCTCCTTCCTTTCCCTGGAATCCCCATCCTTCTGCTTCATTCCAAGTGCTCAGGCCTGTGTAATGTCCCTGCCCTTTTGGATTTGGGCTTGAGTCCTCTATCTGTCCCACCCTGCCATTTCTGTCTTTTGTCTTTTTTGAGCCCTGGTCACTTTTCCTTTAGACTCCAGGGCCTGAGGGACTTCTCTTAGCTCCAGATCCTATTGATGACCAGAAGTTAGGGCTAGCCTCTGCCCTCACCTGATAGCCCTGAAAGCCTTTTCACCCTTGCCGTTGCCCTGGTCTTTGGCCATCTTTGCTATGGGCCTAGTCCAGACCTCTTTTGCCATTCATGCTTCTTTGACCTTAGCTGGCCTTGCTTTACCTCCCCCTTATAGCTCCCCCTTACAGTCAGGGAATCCCACTCTATCCCAAGCACTCCTAGGTCTGACTCATTTTTCAGACACTACTCTCTTCTTCCCCCCATTTTTCCTACCTTTCCCAGCATCTCAAGAGTCTCAAGCCTAACCCAGGGGGGATTCCCCAACTCCCCAGACTCTCCTGTGGGCCCCTCCCACAGAAGGGGAAACTATTCTGGTGCTAGTCCCTTTGGTTGTTGTAAAACCCAATGTCTTCTGACTCTTGAGTCTCCATCACTTAGCTAAGCTTCTCTTCCTCACATGGCTATTGCTGCCCCAAACTCTGGTCATTTTTTCATTCTCCACTGCCCCCCCTCTGGTTTTGGAGGCAGGAAATCAGGGCCAATGTTGTGGGGCTGGCAGCTGTAATCTCTGCTGTTAGCCAGGACAGGTTGGGGCATCCCTGGCTGCTGGCGCCATGGAGGCGCCTCTGTCTGGTAAGATGCCACGTGGCTGTGTGGCCTAGGGTCATTGAGGCCCATGGCCGAAGCTTCTGGCACCCACTTACTGTGGCCTCCCTGCCTGCTTGCTGTGAGAAGACATGGAAGGGGAATGAGGGAGGGGGGGTTTATGCTTGGCTGGTGGATCCACACGACCTGGTGCTAGCTGATTTCCAGCAAAGCCAGTGCTTGCTGTCTCTTGTCCATGTTGAGTTAGCCCAGCAAAATGTCCCTTCATTGTGCACCATTGTGGACATCCACTAGGTACATGGAATATGGCCCTTGTCCCCACCCCTGCGCCCACAGAGATGTTTGGCCATTTCCCTTGTCATGTGCATCTAGGCCTGAAAATCTGGCAGGCTGTCACGTCTATGAATGGCTGATGGGAAGGGGTGGCAATCTTGGTCTGTGACAGAAGGAAAAGAGAAAGGACTGCTCAGGTGACACTGACCCTGAACAGCTGCCTCTATCTCCCTCTCTCAGTACAGTGGCCGCCAGCACCTGTGACTGTTTTAAGTTTCTGCCAAGCAGTGTATAAAATATTCAGTCAATCGGTCATAGCAGCCACCTTTTCAGTGCTCAGTAACTGAGCCTCGGCCTGGGGGCTGTGCAGACAGGACATGTCCACCAGTGCAGAAACTTCCACCCCGCAGCCCTAGCTGAGGTCCCAGGGGAAGGCTGTGCCCACCCAAGGCCTGACTGCATGGCCACGTAGACTTGGGGAACACCAGCAGTTCTGTCTTTGGCTAAGAAGACCCCTGGGGAAACAGGAGAATGGTCAGCCATTTACCCAAGTAGGTAGGTTGACTTAGTGTCCCAGAGCGACTCTAGGCACACAGAAAATGCTTTGAATCTGCCAGTCTTGGCCCGTTCCTTCCTCTCCCTCCGTTCCCCTCAGGGATGTTGCAAGCTGTAAATGCCTCATTATAGCAGGCCTGGCCTGGCTTACCCTTGGGTACTGGCTGGGGATTTTGCTTCTCTTCCTGCTTTCCCTTCCCCTAGGACTGAGGACCAGCCCAAAATCAGGGGCTCCCACTTTCTTTAGTTCCCCACCTCCCCGCAGGCCATATTTTCTCCATGGCCAGGCTCTCTTTGTCCCAACCCTGGCCTGGATCTCTCCTTTGCCATTCCACATGTGAGTTGGTATCATCTGTGGCATTTTTTGGGGTAGGGTATAAGTCGGGAGGCGGGTGTGGATTGAGGCTTGAGCTAGGGGCCCCATGCTTTTGGTCATCTTTCTTGTTCAAGGCTCGCATTCCACCACTTGAGCCACGCCTCTATCTCCCCTTTCCACTGGTTAATTGGAGATCAGTCTCAGACTTTTCTACCTAGACTGGCTCTGAATTGAGATCCTCCAATATCAGCCTCCTGAGTAGCTAGGATTGTAGGTGTGAGCCACTAGTAAGTGCATGACTATATTTTTGGCTGTGCATGAGTAAGAACTTTAGTTGCTTAGAACCCTTGTCTCTGGGAGGAGTGTGGTTTATATCTAAGGCTGGGTGGGGAAAAGACCATTGAGTGGATGCTGGGAAGAAGAGCAGAAGAATCTGGGATCTGTCACTGGACACTGTGGTTGCCCAGGGAGCCGCTGGACAGTGCTGTCCTTAAAGGACCAGAGAACTCCCTGGGACTGGCCTTGCTTTGGCGGTGGGTGGCAGTGGGGCTGCATGGTGGAGTTGCACTTGCTGCTTCTCTACCTGAGCTCTGGTTGGGACTGGAAAACAGCTGCCTTGCTGATGCTCTCCCTGGGGTATTTACTGCTGATGCTGGGGGCCATTTCATAGGAGTGCAAGTACAGGTCCAGGCGGGGCCTGAAAAGGCCCCTGGCCAGTTCACATTGTTTCTGTGGTACCTCTGCTGTTCCCTAGACTTTTCATAGAAAAGCTTAGACTGATCTGCCCGTCTCCTCCCATCTCTTAAAGCACTTCCTGGAAGGTGGACAGGCCAAGGTTTGTCCTACAGTTACAGTACTGCAAAATAGGAGAGGGCAGGGTCCCAGCTTCTCTTCACCTTTCTGTCCATCATCATACCCAGTGCAAGGTTTCACTCGGTTAGTGCTGGATCAGTGAGAGTGGCCAGGGAATCAAGTCTCCTTGCAGCCAAGTTCTATGGGCCTGATCCCAGATGCCTTGATTGAGGTTGTGCATGCTCCTACAGATCCCCTGGAGGCTGGGGGTGTGGCTCAGTGGTAGCACTTGCTCGGCATGTGTAAGGTCCTGGGTTTGATCCTCAGCATAAAGAAATAAGGGGGGAAAGAGGGAAGGTAGGAGGGAAGGAGTGTTCCCAGAGCTGTTCCCCTTGCTCCTGGGGGACACATGGTACCCCATTTAACCTCTTGGTGGATACGTGTGTGTGTGTGTGTGTGTGTGTGTGTGTGTGTGTGTGTGTGTGTACTGGCCCAGGGCTTCCCTGGCAGGTGATGGTTAGGCTTCCCAGTAATTTGAAAACCAAAGATTGTGGGGAAGGGAACAGAAGTGCCAGCTGCTGGTCCCAGTGTGGGATGCTTAGTGGTCCCCGCCCTCTGGGCAAGTAGCCCCCCATTAGGGGTTTGACATCCTTCAGTTTCCCCTTCTTTCTGACCATTCCAAGTCAGCCACTGCCTGAGAGCCCCCAGCTGGGCCTAGAGGGGGAAAGCGTGATTTGTTTGGTCTGGTGTTGCCATTGCTCTGCAGGGTTGCCCAAGCCCCATTACCTTTTCCCATTAGTGTGTGCGGAGTTCACAGCCAGCAGCCAAGCATGGCCCAGTTGGACCTCGCAACTTGCTGAGGCTGATGAGGGAGGAGGCCCAGTGCTTCTGCCTCTGGATGGGGAGGGCATCCAAGCATTTACCACCCTAATCACACTGCAGGGTGAGCTGTGAAGTCCCAGAGGAGAGGGCCTTTGGCAGAAAGGATCCCATCAGACAATCCAGGGAAATCTTACAAATTAATTGTTAAAGACCTGCCTCAGGGCTTTGGGTCCAGGCGTAGGTCCATGTTCAGGGAGGCTGATGGCTGGACTGATCAGATAAAAAAAAAAAGATGGGGAGCTTGGATTTTTTTTTCTTTTTTTTAAGTCTGGGCCTGGACGCCTCCTTCAGCTCTTCAGCTCAAGGCTAGCGCTCTCTACCACTTGAGCCACAGCGCCCACTTCCTTTTTTTTTTTTATTGGTGGTTTATTGGAGATAAGAGTCTCATGGATTTTTCTGCCCAGGCTGGCTTTGAACCATGATCCTCAGATCTCAGCCTCCTGAATAGCTAGGATTACAGGCGTGAGCCGCTGATGCCCAGCCATGGGCTTGGAGTTTTGTGGAATAGCTTGAGCAAAGCTCTCTTCTGTTTGCCAGATGAGGGCCATTTTCATCTGCACCTGGAGTGAGCTTTCTCTCCAGGGCAGGGGCCTGGATGGCCACCCTCTAGTATCTGTTTGCCTAGCTTGCTGGACTTAAGGGTTCTGGCGCTTGGTTCTAAGCATCCTCTGCTAGTTGTCCTGGGCAGAGGACAGTATCTGAGGTCAGGTTCCCTGCTCAAGATTGACTTTCCCCCACATGACCCCTGGAGCCCCAGGGCTGCCCTGTCCATCAGATAGTCTTCTAGAAGTAAAATGATGGACACTCTCTAGGGCAGGACCAGAGTGCCACCTTGCTCAGGGCTTTTGTTGGGAAGTGGGCAAATCTGGAGGGGGGGAGGTGGTTTGCAAAGGGGCCTCCAAGCAGCAGGCAATTATGGGACCTGGAGAATCTGCATCAGGTCTCCTCATGAGCAAGTTGGGAGGACAGCCACTGCCAAGAAAGCATTCATCCTGGAGGCTCCTGCTTAGGTTAAGGTCGCTCAGTGTCCCCATGCAGCCAGGTGCCCCTCCCAGAGGATCAGCTGACAGGTATGGTTCAAGCCGTTGGTTCTGGTGGCTGTGGACCGAGTCCAGGTGGAGTAGAGGAAGGAGGGGGTGTATCCCAGGGCTCTGGAACAAGCTCAGCTGTGCTAGTAAATTATGACGTGACACGTAGAGCTGTTGGCCAGGGCTCAGCTAGCTACTGCTGGCCTCCAGTTAGTACCGTTCCAACTTAACAAACCAGTAGTTCTTTTCTTTGGAGGGTCCCACAGACTGTGTTCTTAGAAGAGTCTAGCATCTAGGGGCATGTGTAGGGGCAGTAGATTGGGGCTGAGAGCCTTGGCCCTGGTGGCTGAGGTTGTGGCACGCCCTTAGCCGGGGGTGTTGTGGCTGCAGTTGGCGCCAGCCCCTGGGGCATAGATGTCTCAGGGCTGGGCCAGGGTGCTTTGGGCCAGCGTGCTGGCTGGGAAGATCACCGCTCTGCCTTGGAACCTTCCTGTTTACTTTGGCCTCCATAGCGCAGTTTTGGCACCAGCATTCTCCCCTCTCTGATGGAACTGTGGTCTTCTATTTCGCAATAACTGCTCTGCCGCCTGCATGCCCAGGGTTGGAGTTCCATGTCATGAAAACTGCTGGGAAGCAGCTGGATTGGGTCAGAGGAGAGTCTCGTGATGCAGGAATTAACTCCAAAGAGGCAGCTGTGGGGCTGGGTGGACTGCCTGTGTTTCGGTCATGTGTACCTCGTGTTCACCTGGGACCATCCCAGCCATTCAGGGATCATCTCCCAGTTCTCAAGCATGAAAGCAGATTGAGGAGACAAGGCAGAGCCATTCCAGCCCTTTAGGGACGATGCAAATACTGTTTGGGGCTCATTCTTCATATGCAGCACTGTTCCATCTAATGATAATAACTTATTTATCCACAGGGTATTTCTCATCTACTGTTCGGTTTTGTGTGAGTATATATGTGTATTTGTATGTGTGCCAGTACAGGGGCTTGAATTCAGGCTGTAAGCGCTGTCCCTGAGCTTTATTTGCTCAAGGCTGGTGCTTTACCACTTGAGAGCTACAGCTCCACTCTGGCTCTTTGGTGGTTAATTGGAGTTAGAGTCTTACAGACTTTTATTTATTACCTTGGTCCTCATATTTCAGCCTCCTGAGTAGCTACTGGCACTTGGCTTGTTCTTTGTTTTTTTTTTTTTTGCTGGTCTTAGGTCTTGAACTCAGGGCCTGGACACTGTCCCTGAGCTTCTTTTGCTCAAGGCTAGCACTCTACCACTTGAGCCACAGCACTACTTCTGGCTTTTTCTATTTATGTGGTACTGAGGATGGAACCCAGGGCTTCATGCATGCTAGGCAAGCACTCTACCACTAAGCTACATTCCCACCCCATCTTTGTTTTTTTTGAGAATAAGTCTTGTTATAGCCTAGGGTAGCCTGGATTCACCATCCTTCTGGTTCAGCCTCCACAGTGCTGGGCTTACAGGTATGTACCACTGCACCCAGCTTCATCTAGCTTTTGGTGGGGGGGTATTTCCACTTGAACATTTCCTTGACATTTAAGCATGGACTTTCTGTCCTCCCTCCCCACTGTCCCTGGCAGAACTGGCAGCTCTTCTACCTGGATCCTGGCATTTCCGAATCTTCTTCACCCTTGAATCTGGCCAGTTCCCCTCTTCCAGCCTCAGTTTACCTCTCTTCCAGGCGCTCCCCCAGTTGTCTCCCAGCTGGGAGTGTGTCACTGTTCACAGAGACCATTTCCTGTCCCCAGTGACTCACAGATCTTTTCCCCAGAGACCTACAGGGACTATCATTCTGAGCCAGAGCTCTTTCAGCCCATTTCCTTTTTAAATTAACTAATGTTTAAACTGATGAAATTGTATACATTTATCATGAACCTTTTTTTTCTTTTTGGCAGCCCTAGGGATTGAATTCAGGGTCTTGTACTTGCTAGGCAAGCATGGTACCACTTGAACCATCCCCCCATTACACATCTGTTTAATTTGTGTGTATGTGCGCACGCACATGTACTCATAAACCTGTGCAAGTACTGGTGCTTGAACTTAGGGCCTGGATGCTGGCCCTGAGCTTTTTTTGCTTAAGGCTGAGCACTCTATCACTTTAAGCCACAGCTTGACTTTAGGTTTTCTGGTGGTTAATTGGAGATGAAAGTCTCACGGACTTTCCTGACTGGGTTCAAACCATAACCCTCAGGTCTCAGCCTCCTGAGTATGTAGGATTAAAAGTGTGAGCCACCAGTGCCCAGCTTAATTTTTTAAAATAGAACTTCATTGTTATTAAGGTGATGTATCTAGAGAGGTTACTGTTTTCATGAGTCAGGTAATGAGTACATTTCTTTTTGGACAATGTTGCCCCTTCTTTCACTCTCTACACAAGTTTTTTTTTCCTCCTCTTTGGTGCCAGTCCTGGGACTGGAACTCAGGGCTTGGGCACTGTCCCTGACTTGAGCCACAGCACCACTTCCTGCTTTTTCTGTTTGCATGGTACTGAGGTATTGAACCCAAGGCCTCATGCATGCAAGGCAAGCACTGTACCACTAAGCCACATTCCTAGCCCTGTACAAGTTTTTAACTGGCAAATAGAACCTGCCTGTTGCTCCTGCCTGGTTGGCTAACTGTCTGCAGTCCCAAGCCTTGCCCTCTATCATTATTATTATTATTATCTGCCACTTGGACCTTCCTTCTGGGAAAGTTCTCCACAACACTGTGTGACCCAACATTTCAATAGAGAAGGGTCAAGGGGTGTCTCCATGGTCCCAGAGATCACCCAGGGGTACACAGCAGGCCCCAGTCCAGGAGCAGGTACCCAGTGAAGGGGTGCTGCAGCTTCCCCAACTTCCTTGATGGTGGAAAAGAGCCCTGGGAGAAGAGGCCTTCAACTGGGATCTTGGCCAGCAGGGAAGTGAGTTTAGGGTACCACAGGCTGGGGCAGTGGAGGACACAGGAACTGGGGGGCTGAGTTGGACAGAGGGCTTGCAGATCCTGAATTTCCTTAGTCTGCGACTCAGACAAGCTGCCAGCTTCCACGTGTGTGCCTCTGTGGGCTAGAGACCCACAAAGCGTGACATTTACACATGGACTGCTAGGCGTATTCTGACTAAGGGAGGGCAGCTTTCCAGACTGGTGCAAAAGCAGGCTGAGAGGTGTGTCCCTGAGCTGCAGGAGGGGCTGGGAGGGAGAGAGAATGGGAGCGGGGGAAGGAAGGAAGGAGGCAAGGTGGAGGAGGTTGGGAGTGGTGCAGTCACAGAAGAAAGGAAGGTTGGAGAACAGCTGGGCACTCGGGCAGAGAGACTGGCAGCCAGCGCACAAAGCGCCTCTTTGCCTGCTTATCTCGGCACTTAGCAGCAAGTGTCCTCTTGGCCTCTGCGCCTTCAGGAACACTGGTGTTTGCTGCTGGGTGTCAAGCTGTAGGGAGTCTGGGGGAGGTGCCCTTCTGGCTGTGCCTGGCCACATGGCACAAGTGCTCTGAAGGCTTTCTGGTTGGTGGGTGGGAATGCGCTGCTGCTGCTGTGTTTTGGGGTACAGACAGGTGCCCTGGCTCCTTGGGAACCACCTTGATGAAACAGAAAGCCTGTGCTCGCTGTCAGCTTTCTCTGGGGATGGGGTGGACTCTGCACTCAGGCCTCGGGTGTGTGACAATGAAGGTGCTGGCATCAAGGTGCTTTGGTGGCTATCCCAGGGAGGCAGGATGGCAGTGGTCGGGAGTGGCTCTGGAATTCACAGCCATAGCTTCAGCTTCCCCATCTACAGAATTGCAGTCCAGGGAGAGCTGGGTGGGACAGCTCTCCTCCCCAGGTGGCCTCAGGGGAGCAGTTGGCCAGCTGCCAGCAGCAGGTTTCTTTAGTGGAAAGCATGGGAGAGAAATCAGGGGCCTTCTGGTAGAGGGTGAGCCAGCATGGGTGGCTGGGGGAGGAGGATGGAGGCAGAAGTGCTGCAGGTGTGCTGCCAGAGTCAGGGTGGAGCTGGGCACTAGAAGCCCAGGAAGAAGTATGTGGGGGTGAATGGAGTAGCTGTGGGCCGGTCAGAAAGATGGGGGCTGGTGTCCAGTGGGGGCTGGTGTCCAGTCTCCTCCTCTCTGTGGTCTGGAGGGACATGCACCGGTGTGAGGGCTGACGCTGTCCTGCTTCTCTTTCCCTAGTGCACCGTCCAGGTCAAGTTAGAGTTGGGGCATCGTGCCCAACTGCGCAAGAAGCCTACCACGGAGGGTTTCACCCACGACTGGATGGTGTTCGTCCGCGGCCCTGAACAATGTGAGATCCAGCACTTTGTGGAGAAGGTGATCTTCTGGCTGCACGACAGCTTCCCCAAGCCCAGGCGTGGTGAGTGGACCTGGGCTTGCCCAGTAGATGGGAAGGTGGGCACTGGGGAGTGAGCAGGGAAGGCAGTGCAGACAGGAGGGGTGGCCACAGTGTCCTGTCCAGGTGACTCAAGTCATCAGCTGTGTTGTTTTAAGAACTCAGAATGTAGAGGTTGGAGACAGTACAAGTGAAGTCACTCACCCTGTCACTCACTCTGCTGTCTGTGGCCCCCCTCCCCACTGCCTCTGTCCCCTGGGCTGTCCAGCCCTGCACCTGGGACCATCTGCACCGGCAGGATATCCCCCCTCCACTTCCAGAAACACTTTGGCTGGGACTCTGAGGGCAGGGTCGGGTTTTCTCACCATTGAGATGGAAGGGCCGTGTATTTACAGGGTTCAGTAGTCCTTTCTATTATTTATTTGTTTGTTTATTTGCCACGCTGGGCACTTCAAGGAAGTGCTAATCACTGAGCTCCAGTCCCTAGTAAACGATTGTGGTTTTTGTTTGGGTGGGGGGCGGGCCTGAACTCTGGGCCTGGGCGCTGTCCCTCAGCTCTTCAGCTCAAGGCCAGCACTCTACCACTTGAGCCACAGTGCCACTTCTGGCTTTTTT